GGTGGTTAGAATGGTTAAGTAAAGTGATTAACTACACAGTGGTTAAGTAGAACTCCAAATAATTCATAAACTTATGGACATAAATTTATGTTTATTCTGTCAGCAAATAATTCCGAAAAAGAGTGAGCAAGAGAGAAGAACTGATTTGTTTTAACTACTGATAAAAGTAAACAGAGAAATGGTCCCAGACTTTGCAGAAGGAGAGGGATGGAAAGCAGCCGTAAGAGGCTCCTACATCCTGGGGAATTCATGGTCTCTGTGGTTGGTCTTTCACTACACTTTTACTGTCCTCTGTTAACACAAAATTTTCTAGCTTTAGCTTTAGACCGCTGGTGTTCTCTAAGCTAAAATAGATTAACATCCCACTATCAGGCATATTTCAATGTAATAGAAAATTACAGGAAAATTATCACTTAATATGTGATTACTATAACAAAGGCAGAACCAGTAAAATGTTAAAGTAGACTCAAAACACAAGGTCATCTAGCACATCTAAAAACTTCCCGAAGTCTTCTAACACGTGTACCCTGTAAGTCATAAGGGAAAATCCTGGAAATAAATTTCATCGTTTCCATTTTTCTGAAGATGAACTGAAAAGAGTGTGCCTACTTTATTTCAGTTGGAAGTTTCTCCTCTTTTTCTCAAGGGCACCAGCACTAACACACAGCGTTGGCAGGATCCTTCCGGGGACAGTCCCCGGGAGCCCCGTACCTTCCGACACAGGGTGATAGTCTTCTCCAGAGGTGGCCGAGCCGTCCTTGGTGTGGACTCTCACAATGGAGACCTTCGAAGTGTCTCCTTGGCGGATCACTGGAATTCTGATGACAGCTGACTCTCCTGGTTCTTTGGGTTCAGTGACACTAAATTTGGTTTCTCCAAATTTAATAACGGTCTCTAAAAATTTGTGGGAAATACAGACAAATGGAATCATTAGTAAAGGGAATGCTTCTTCCCCTTTTCTCGTGTTTCTTTCTGTGTGAGAGGAGCTTGATTACTGTTACAGTCCTGGCTTCTCTTGGTCCCCTCACTCGATATCGGTGGTGTGTGTGAAAGGATCTGACGTGTGTGGCCCAGCTCCTTCCCGGGAATTAAATAGCTCCTGAAGAGCATGTGCTCTGTGCCGTGCCTGTGTGGCTAAATTATATGGTAACAGGCCACTGAATAGGGGAGGGGAGGGAGGAAACTGTTGGCCTGTGAATGTTTGGGATTCAGTGTTTAGATATAAGTCATATTCTCCAACATCAACTTTTTCAATTTTAATGGTTTATTTTGTTCCCCATTTGTCTTAGTCTTTTTCCTATTGCTTAATTGCTTGAAAACCCTAGTCAGAAAGAGGCGGTTATTTTCTGAGCCATCTAAACCTTTAACATGGGTAGATTTCAGTTCCCAATTTATAGCTGAGCACAAGAAATGACTTCTTACTATCAGCATCATCTCGGATCCTTATCAGAGTTTCATTTTGTTCACCAACTGCAGCCCCAAAGGGGGAGTTGCTTTGTGGACTGCCCAGTACCAGGCGGAGCTCCTCCTCCTCCTCGTATAGGACGTCGTCCATCAGCTCGAGGACACAAGGCTTTTCAGTCTCACCTGGAACAAGAGTAATGTCAACAGGTTAATCACATCCCATAGGCCAAAGGGCCACATCTGCAACTAGAACGTAAGCACCACAAAGGCAAGGATATTGCTTTTTTCCTGCTGTATCAGTGCAAACAATAGTGTTTGGCATGTAATAAGCCTTCAAGAGGTATTGGCTGAAGAAGTGAATATATGTTTGAATACATTCAATGTCAGGCCCTTATTCGTACAGAGACTTTCTTTAATTCTTGTCTTGAAGTTCTGTCACTCATCTTAGAAAACAAGGGAAAAAGTAAATATCAATTTTGTTTATGAATTTCTAGCATTATGATCAGGAAGCAAAGTTAGCAGCCTTGGACTGGTTGATCATTGTTAATTTGACTTCAATACTAGTTTCTAATATTACTAACTTTTGACTTATTGAACAAATCATTGAGCCAAGAACAATTAGGTCTTTGCCTCTAAAAAGTGGGACCAGTATTATACCTTGAACTTTCCCCTAATTCATAATTCTTTAAGACTTTTTAATGCCTATAAAATATACCATCATGGAGATGTCCAAATAAATAATTGTCCAATTATTGACAACCTTCCATTTGTTTTCAATCTTCCATTACCATAAATAACTTTGTGATAAACGTACACATGAGGAAATCTTTCTACACATTTATGATTATTTTTCTTAGAATATATTCCTATAAATACAATTAATGGATCAAAGTGATCAAATATTCTAAGGCACTGGGTACATATTAAAAATATAGTATCTATTTCCTCTTATTTCATTCCACTTAAACATTAAGTTTAATTCCCAGCATTGTGAAATCTATACATTTGATATGTTCTTGTCCACTGACTAAGTTTTGAATAAACAATACAGCACATCACTGGAGTGATGTCGATATAGAATACAGTTAATATAGAAAGTGAAAGGGCATTCATTTAAACTGTTAAAATCTACCTCACCTTATCATCATTTACTGCACATAAAACCGTACCATATGCTTGTCAAAATTAAGAAACTTGTATTTACCTGATGTATAGTTCTCAACAAAATCTTGGCTTCTTCCAATTTCATATAAAAATTTCAAGCTCAAGCTTACCAGGGAGGAATGTGATGATGGAGACATCAGTGTTTGGGCGTTCTTCGAAATCCATCATCACCTGTGCGGACCCCTGCCGGGTGTAACATCTCACTGAAGACCTGTACTGGCTGTCTCCACTCCGGTGGATCATTGCCACTACCTGCCCATCATTCTCACTACCAGTATATACTCGTTCTTTGAATTGCATCTTGGGCACTGCAAGAACAAATAAACTCATGGATCAAAGTGAACAGGAATTTCCTTACAAAAAATGACATTTTAGCATATGTGGTTTAGTGGAAAAGACAACAGACAAGTGAGAAGAACTGGATCTCCACTCAGTCACTTGCCAATGTTTGACCTTGAGAAAATCATTTAACTTTAAGAGTTCTGATTTTCCTACCTTTGAAATTCTGCCTATTTTGTGAAGTAAGGATATGCAATGAAATGCTAAAAAGTAGATAAAACCACAGACCTTAAGATATTTATATCTATATATGTTTCTTAGTCATGAGCATTTCAGAATTTCTTGATATGAAGAACCCTAAATGTCGTGCATATTAATTACAAGTGTAGTTTACCCAGACCATGTTGGGGAAGTTGACAGTGTGTGTGTGTGTGTGTGTGCATGTGTATAATTTTTAGTTAACACCTAAGCTTGGTCAATTGTGTACAGGTCTCATTGACAATAGGTTAGACTCCTCCAAGCACTGTCAGAATCATCATGGTTGAAGAGTATTCAGAATTCTCTTGAGATGACTTGTCAGAGAGCCCTGCCATGTGTCTAGCAGTTGGTTGTCTCAGAACAATGTTTTTGGCACCTTATTAGGGAAATTTCAGGAGTGTCTGGGGGAAGGAGATGACAGAAAGTATCTTGTGTTGAGAAGTGGAAAAAGACCATTGACACTCAAGGGCGTGTGTAATTCCACATGGTTCCACCCACCTGTGTGGAGGGGAATTCTTGAGACACAATCAAGACGCTGATGACGATACTACTTTTTTTCTTTAAACTTTGAGAGG